CTGTGAATTATGAAGAATCATGTGCCAGATCAGAGTCACTGACTTTCTGGTTAAAAGCTGCTGTATAACTAATATTATCCTTATATGCTGAGGTTAGTTATTAGCTGGCTAGAAACTGATGAGAGCAGGGTAGTCACAGTGAAGAAATAAAAGGAATCCATGAGAACCAGTGATTACCAAATAAAACAGGAAATAGATTTAAGCATAACTATCCAGAACCATTTAGAGGTTTATGGGAAAACCGTCCTCAGCACCCTCACTCTGTCACCTCAGGAAACACTTTCCAGATGACTTCATGAGCTCAACTGCTAGTTTCAGATCATTCTGGGGAAAAAAGTGAGGCTTATTTTGTAAATTAAGGTCACGTGTAGACTGAAAAAGGAAAGGAAGTGTACGTGTCCCTGTGGGAAAAACCAGAGCAGTAAAAAACTACATGTGATTGACATCTTTTATTCTAACTCTTGACTTTTCCTCCACCTTTTCTTCTTCCTGCTTCTCTTCTTCACCCACTGCCCATCAGGGTTAAAATGGTAGATATTGTGTCACCAAGTACAATGCCGTCAGAAACTGAGGTGCATGTGGCGAGGAGCTTTCTCACCAAGATTTTGCGAAGCTCTATGAGGTACCATCCAGTTAGCTTGTGTCTGGCTGTGTTTGCTGGTAGTTTTTTGGTGGACCTACATGGCGTCAGATCATTGAGCTTTGTGCTTCGTGTTCTTTTGTAGTACTTTAATGTGTATGGTGCTAGCTGTCCAAGTATCTTTAGTTTACTTGCACGTTTGTGTCTGTCATCAGTTCTGTGATGTGGGAATTACCAGGTTTTACACGTACAGCGCATTAACATGACTTGCTTGCATGGTTTTCTTGTGGTTTTATATTTTGTGGAAAAATTTATGTCCATGATCCTTTTTCAACATGCTCTCCAGGAAGAACCGCTTCAAGGGGTACGTGCATGTTTGGTGTGAGCAAAATTAAACTGTGAAGCTGTGGATTTACCTTTGTGGAGTCTTACCTATCAAGGTACTGATGATGTTTAAAATAGGGTTTGCAGGCCTGAGGCACACAGTGAGCACCCCCCCCCCCCCCCCAAAAAAAAAAAAAACCCAAAACAAAACAAGACAAATAATTATTTGTTATTCGAGATCACAAATGTGTTACTAAAAATAATCAATTTGTTCATCTGCAAAAGTTGCTTTTTGCAGTTTAAACAAACAGCATATCTGAATATTAGGAATGATCATGATTTTTAATTATTCAAATATTCATTAAACTTCAAGTCACTGGGTGCCCTGTCATTCTAGGTGTTGTTGTGATATTGTTATAAAAATGTTTCATATCATGTGTTTGTCAATCTGCTTCTACTTTTCATAGCTTTTCCTATTAATTAGTATGGACAATAGAAATGAAACATGGCAGGTTTTTTTATTTTATTGTAGAAAATGTATTTTAGGAAAAATATTAGCTCGTACTGAATCTGATGGCAGCGACACGTTTCAAAAAAGTTAGGACGGGGTCATGTTTGCCACTGTATAGCATCCTCTCTTTTTTTAACAAGTCTACAAACATCTGGAAATTGAGGAGACCTACTTCTAGACTTTTGTCCTTGATATGCAAGGCCTTCCCTGAAAAAGACGTCAGGCACATGTTGCTCTAAAACTTGTAGATATCTTTCAGCACTGCTGGTGGCTTTCCAGATGTGCAAGCTGCCAGTTTTCATTTAAAAGTATAGTTAATAACATTACATTTTTGAATATCTCTCATAGAGATATGAGAAAGACAACAGAGCTATTAAAATATTAAGACTCAGTCATTTTAGTCAACACAATAGCTTGGTCACTTCAGTGTTAAGTTATAGCAAATATTAAACAATATGTAAGTATATTTTCTCTAGAAATATATATTTTCCCCTGGTTTTGCTATTGCCAGCCATCATTGAATAACATCCCACTACCCGCTATCAGGCATCCGACCGCTAAATCATATATGGTGCTGTGAGATTAGATTCTGCTGACGATTTTAGCTGTCAAAAAGTGTCACTGAAAGAAGAACTCATTCAAAAAATGATTAAAACATGGGTCCAGAGCAAACGCTGCCAGGTCACAAGTCTGCTACAACTATAGTTATTAATTTTAGTGTTTTTGGACAGTGTAGCTATATAATTCTTACCAGTTCTTTGTAAATATTTGTGTTTGTAATGGTGCCATAAATGTTATCTAATGATCATGGGTTGTTTTGTTTGTTTTTCCTTGCATTTCTGTGGAGTAATAAGACTATTTACACTGTTTAAAATACTCTATTGTCCTGAAACGATTGAATACACAGTGGTATCAGGGGGAAGGATTTGGATGATGGTGGCCTGCAAAGCCCATGAAGAAATGTTAACCTGTAGAACTCTGTGAACTCTTGTCTTCTATGAAAGAATTTGAGAAAGAGTATTGAGAAATTGTTTGCTGTGCTTCTGCTTTGCAGGAAGAATGACCCAAGCTCACGTCCTCATTCCTGGTATGCCTCGAAGCTGACAGAGGAGGAGCCTCCTGAGAGAGAGGCTACCCAAGCCCCAGTCTGGCAGCCAAAGCATGAAGCAAGGTGAGCTTTTTTGGTGGTTTATCTTGTCTTTCGTAGACAGATCACAATATTTTTTTTCTTATCATCCCCTCCAGGCCCAAAGAGTCGTCCACTCAAGGAGATCAGAACATTCAGCATCAGCAAACCAGTCAGATGAGCTCAGTGAAAAACATGGAGAAACTTGAGCGTCCCTCACATCTCTACCCAGCAGGTCGTCTTTCCCCAAATAAATACACCAGCAGTGCTGAGCCAATCTGTGGACTGGGACCAGGCAAGAGGGACTCTGGGTTCAGCTGTTTCTCAAGTGGCTCCAGCCCCCCTGTTCATGACCTTAATGCATCTGGTAGAAAGGGAACAAGCACTGAAAGCATTTTCTTCAAGGGTGTTCACAATGAAGGACCTCAGCAGAATGAGCGGCCCAGATATCTGCAGCCAACACTGGGGAACGGAGGCTGGAAGGAGCAGCCAGCATCTCGTGTTTCCATTGCAGGGAGACCCAACGTAGGCCCAGTGTGGCAGGTACCAGACAGGAAAAAGTCTCAGTCTCCTCCTCCGCCACCTCCTCCCCTGCGTAGTGACAGTTTTGCAGCTACAAAGGTGTTTCCATACTCTGAAGGTCCAGCAAAAAGCCACGGCACATCATTTGAAAAACTGCCAGAAAGTAACCACCACAGTGGCATCAGATCCCATCAGGAGAAATCCTCAGAAACCAGACGTAGCTTCAACCCAATACCTGCCAAAGACTTCCTCCATCCAAACATGCCGGCTGATTACAACCACAACCAGCTCAACCCCAACAAACACTTCTCTTTGTCCAGCAGTGATGTCAGACAGTTTCATTACACCCAACCACCTGCCCACCAGAGGCAGTTCAGTGATGAAAGTCCCTTCTACTTCCTGCAGACTGGAAAGGCTCCTCCCACCAAGACTCAAAGTGTAGGAAGCTACTACCGCAGCCTCCAGGATCTGCCCACAAATGCTTTCAGCCGCAGGCAGATGCCACACTCTGCAGCATCCATGGTAAGCACTGCTGCAAACCCAAACCTGGAGAGCGGAGGGCATAAGAGATACTACGGTCTTGCAAGTAAGACTGCGCAGTACAAGGCTAGGCAGGGCAAAACTGAAAGCCGGATGACAGAAACAGAGAAACACCACTGGGTGAACAGCAATGAAACAGGGTACCCAAGTTCCCTGAAGACTAACACTAAGGCAAAGTACTCACTGCCTCAGGCCCAAATGCCTTATATTGAAAATAAGGAATGCCATACCCATTCCCACTTTGGGAATGGACTTCACTACAACCACCAGACCTCTGAAATTTCTGTTCAAAGACGTAGTCCAGAGGATACTGCAAAGAGAGGTGAAGGTCACACTAATGACATGAAAATACAGTTTCCAGTACATCAAGTCAAAGATCACAAGGCTAATCTTCCAAGACATCAAGACCCATGGGTCCCTCAAGAAGACCAACGAATAACCGCCCTGAAAACTCCACTCCTCCACTCCCTGACTCTGGAAAACAAGACTCTGGCAGCAACAACCACAACTGTCTTGTCCACCCAGGACACCAGTGACACCATGGCTGCTAGCAGTGGAAAAGCAAATCGCCGCAGTGACCGTTATGCCACCACCCTTCGGAAAGAGATCCAGCAGAAGCGAGCCCAGCTGCAAAAGAGCCGCAGTGCTGCAACTCTGACTTGTGATGCAGAGGATGAGGATGCAGAAGAATGGAGATCTATGGAAGCTTCTGCATCTTCTGCTGCTTCCTATTCAAATACTTACAAGGACCACCTGAAAGAGGCGCAGGCCAGGGTCCTCCAGGCCACTTCCTTCCAGAGACGAGACCTAGAACCCCAGGGACCAGAGGCCTCTGTGCTTAAAACCTCAAATGGGCGCGCTAGGGGACGTAAGCGATGTCAACTGGCAAAGAGGACGCACTCTTTTTCAGAGCCTGATAAAATAGACAAAGTGGGAGTGGAAGGAGAATCCCAAGCAGGCTCATTTGGGGAGCGGAGGAAGTTCTTTGAGGCGAAACCAGCCTTTTCCAGGCCTGTACTGAAGTCAAGTCAGAGTGCAAACTCGAACACAGACCTGGATGAGTCGGGCAAACCCAAAGGGAGAGCACCTTCTATAGGGTCTGTTGAGCCTCCTCCATCCACAGACCCCAACCACCTCAACCCTGGACATAACGAAGTCTTACTAGAGCAGCAGAGGCTCGGAACATTTGCTGAGTATCAGGCCACATGGAACAAGCAGAAGAAGTCATCGGAAGGCAAGACGCAAGGGCGGTATCACTCAGCGGAGAATATCTTAGATGCAGGTGCAGAAGAGAAGGCCATCTGCATCCATGAGAGATCCAGATCTTCGCCTTCTGCAGACTTCTATACACAGGTGAACAAGATTAGGATGGTTTTTATGTTCTAGACCGCCAAACAACAAAAAAGTACAAAAGTCAGTTGGAAGATAACCTTAAGTTGTAAAGCATATTTGGCTGTTGGTTAGGTTTGGGCAACTAAAAAGTCCTATTTAAGATAAGGGAAAAATGGAGTCACAGTTATAAGAAGCCTTTATGACACTACTCTTGAGAAGTAAAAATATGCACAACAAATACCCTAAAGTGTACTAAGTATTTAAACGAGCAAACTGATGCTGATGTTTTCTATGAATGGCACACTAAACTTCACCTTCTTATTGCAGAAAATTCATTCTGCTTGGAGAGACACTCAGGCCCAAAAGGGCAGTTCAGCTACCAGGTAAGATTAATTTTTGATTGGACTACTAATATACAGATTAATATACTAATGTACCACTAATATACAGAAAAACAGCACTGGGTTTTGATTCACGAATCATTCACTGCATCTACAGTTAGAGTACTGTGCAGGTCTTGAGACACGTCTCATTTCTTTATATTTTGCTAGAAAAATGGAAGCTATGTGCAGCAATTTAGTGAAGCATGTGTAAACTGCAGTATATTAAGCCAAAACAAAATATTCTTGTCATGTCTTTAAGTCGTCTTCAGGAATAGTTTTCCAGGCTTCTTGAAGTACATTCAAAGCTCTTCTTTGGACGTTTCTGCCTTTTGTTCTGTTCTCTGTCAACATGATCCCACACTGCTTCAATGATGTTGAGGTCCGGGCTCTGGGGAGGCCGATCCATGACTGATAGTGCTCCACTGTGTGTTTTCTATCCACGTATGCTTTTACTGCATTGGCAGTGTGTTTGGGATCATTCACATGCTTGAAAATAAAGCTGTTGTTAATCAGATGTTTTCCAGATGGTATTGCATGGTGGATCAAAATCTGATGGTACTTTTCTGTGTTCATAATTCATAAATTTTGCCAAGTTCTCCAACAATAGTGAGTAGACACTGTTGTGTCACAATGACGACATTTGGACCAAAAAATGTCCAATTTGGATTCATCACTCCATTAGACCTGTTCCGACTGATTTTCAGTGCAGTTCTTGAGCAATTGTGCATACCTCAGCTTTTTCTCCCTGTTTCGTTTCTTTGAGAATGGCTTCTTGAAAGCCAATGTCCAAAGAAAAACTTTGACTGACCTTCAGACCACAAGAAGACCATTTTTGAAAATTACAAAAAGCCTGGCTTATTTAAATCAAAATGCAAATAAATAGGGGGTGGCTGCAGAACTTTTCTAAACATTTCTTCTATGTTCACCAACTCCTATAATGTGTTTAGAGGAATACTCATCACTTTGCAGTGGGACATTTGACAGGAAGAAATATCTGTTTGGTTTCATATAAATGTGGAATTTATCCAGTCTGTGACATTTCAGTGCAGAAAGAACTGCTCTCAGTTTCTCTTCTCAGGCTTCCTGAGCTGAAGTGATCACTTTCAGTCAAACTAGAACCTTTTTTTTCTAACTTTATCTTTTGCTATTGAAGCTCAGGTTTGGGTGAATAGATTCTCCTCCGACTCGAGTCGTCAACTACACCCTTATTTACAAAACGTGTCTGAAGCTACTGTGGATTTACAGTGGGTGGAGAGGGTATCAGTTTATCCGTAAGCTGCTGCTGACAAAGAACACTTATCTGCTGCATACATGATCAGTAATCCTCAGCATTCACTCCTTTTGTTGATGTGCTGCCTGGTATGCAAGGTGGGATATAAACACCTTTAAGAAAAAAGGGAAATACAAACTCATCTTTCAGCATAATTTTCACTCAGAGGTGTAAGCCAAAGTGATGCTCAAATTCTTTCTTTCTAGTGTTACAATATGCACTTTTTTCTTTTGTTGTATTGGATTTTTCCACATTTACTCTTTTATTTATCCCATCGAACTGTATATATTAAATGGAAAAAGAAACAAAACATCCTACATTTTTAAAATTAACGTGTTAGATATCTAATAATACCATATTCTTCTAAACATGTTTAGATATTTTAGCCTGTTATGTGAATAATGTTCCTTAAAACTGTCAATCCCTAAAAATATATCTGAAAATATAAAAAGCATGCAATGCAATCTAACAGCATATGCATCAGAGCTCTTTTTAAGCTCAGTGATGAGCTGCAGGATGCTGGTTTTTGATACGTGAAAAATGGGAAGAACAGGTTTTGGAGGGTCAGAGTCATATAAAAGCTTTAAGATTTGGTGCTGGAGCCCTGGAAACATTTCAGTGGTTATTGTAATTATTCACTGCCCCTAACTGTGGACTAGCTCCCTTGTAATCCAAGCTCTGTGTTTGGTTTTCACACTCGTGGTTCGGGTGTCGTGAACTGTAATAGACTCACTCAAACCACACCTGTGAACCTCAAAGTCATCAGTAATATTACTCAAATGCACCAGGTGAACAGGTTCTTCTGAACTTTGTATCAATGTAACCTGATGTAAACCTGCCCCAGGGTCTCGTCCCAGTCAGATATGCCAGAAACACCTCACCCAAGAGGGTTGAATTTTGCACAAGTTGCTCCATATAAGATCTGATGAATTGTTTAACCAGCTGAGAACTTTAGAATATTTAATTAAGAAATATTGTGAATACTTTCCCAGTGATCAGCCCTTTAAGTACAAAATCTATATGATGTTTTCCTGCATAATTTCATAAGTACAGGAGAAATCCATATGAAATTATGAAGGCAATTTGTGACACTTGGAGTGGGTGTAAATCTAAAGATAAAATCTGTTTTTTCCATATCTCCATATATAGTTTCATCAGCACAACTGCAGCAGTTTAATGTCTGTGAAGCGTTTGTTCCCCTTTTTTTACTTGTTTTCTCATAATTCAGTGGAGAAAACTTCAGAAGGTGTGTTTTGGTTAAACTTTCAAGGCTCATATCACCATGTGGGAGAGGTGTCTGCTCATAACAAGACGGGGGGGAGACCGTTCATGATTATTAATTTAGAAAATGAGCTGTTTTAGGCATTTATCTAGCTATCCAAATAAAAATAGGAGAATAAACTGTATTAAACTCTATTTTTTAAAATATTGTTGCAGACTTGTTTTTTTGCTCAGACATGTGGTTCAAACATCCTGATAAACCTCATATTGATGCCCAGTTTCTTCCCTGAACTGACTTAAAAGGAGGCAGCACATATTTTAACATTCCTGAGATGTGAACTGAAAATGTCTGAATCATCGTGTTGGAGATGAAATGAATTGATGTATTTTTAAGCCACGTGATGTTTGATATTCCTCAGGTGCTTATGATGAGGTTTGTCTTTATTTTGACCTCTAGAGTGAAGTCGGAGAGTCAGAGTTATGAGCCCGACCACAGCCCACAGCTGGTCGAGGGCCCCTCCCCAGGGCTCCCTGACCAAAGGACAAATCCCGCTGCCATTCCCGCCCACACCACACTGTCCTCCGGCCCTCGCAGCCTCAGCCCCAGCCCTGGTTCCAAGCACCCAGCCCAGCCGCCACAAACCCAGAGCCTCCTGCCGCCACCCAGGCCCCATTTAGGCCTAGAAACCACATCCTCCTCCCAGGAATTCCTCGCTGGCGCCCAGGCAGATCCGGCTGGAGTCCAGCCTCTGTCCAGCTCTGCCTCTGACACCCAGCACCATGCTGCCACCTCCACTGCCGCTGCTGATCAGGTCTCCTCTGCTGGCCCCGCCTCGGCCAGCTCCCCTCGCCTCAGAGAGAGGTCCTGTGCAGACGAGAGCAAAGCAGCTGAAGGACATGAGGTGAAGGAACAGCCGGCTTCACCTTCTCCTTCCTCATCCCCTCTCTCCTCCTCTTCCACCTCCTGCACGGCCCCTCTGCCTCTTCCCGGGCTCGATGGAGCACGGTCCCCCTCGCCACAGTTTGCGCCACCGAGGCTGACCGACAGACCGCCCGCCGCGTCTGTGCAGAATGACTCAATGCTCAGGTAAGCAGCTTAACCTCTCTGCCTCCTTGTTACGTAAAGTTCCTCCTTCCCTGTTCCCAGAGGAAGAGGCTTTGAGGAGCAGCTTTAGGTAAACATGTCCAGGAGGGAACGTGAGATTGAAAACACAACAACAGCGCACAAACAAAAGATAAATAACGACCGAAGCGGTGACGTAGCCGCTCTGCCAGCAGCTGTGGATGCAAAAAAGTGCTCACAGAATCAGACCGGAGGCTGTAATTTTCTCAATGCCACATGAAAACTCCGACCTTTGATTTCCACTCAAGTTCAGCTGAGCGATTCTTCCTCCAGTTAGAAACTCGCTTTATATAAATCTCTCCCTCATGTTTCAGCCTCTTTTAATCAGTTGAAGTTTAATATTATTTGTTGTCATCCATCTTATCTAGAAAATTTACCTTGTAATGACAAATGTGATCATGTTGTTGCAAATTGTGTCATAATGTTTTAGTTATCTGCACCTTTTTTTTTTATTACCCTCATAATGGTTTAAGGGGTGTATCCCCCACATCATTTGTTCTTTTTAAATGATGCTGTTAAAGACCAGTCTTAGGATTAACACCAGAAACTGCCCTGAGAGCTGTAATTATTGAACTACATGTCCCATAATAATTGTAGGACTGAGGATGCACTTTTAAAACAGGAACCTGGAAATAGTGGGGAAAAAAACAATTATTATGCATATTATTCAGCAGAGGTTTGAACAAACCTTTTGCCATTTTTCTTTTACAGCTGGTCTTTGTCTGAATAGATATTTCCAGATTGTCTTTGTACTTCTTTGTTTTTAGCTTTGCAGGCGATCAATCTGAATCAGAATACTTTATTAATCCTTAAAGGAAATTATGTGGCTACAGTCGCTCCAAGACAACAACATTAACAGACTGAACTAAATTAAATAATACAATATATTACAAAGTTTACAAAATATAAGAAATAGCTCTAATATACATACAAATAGCTCAGTTATAAATATCCAGAATATCACAGAGATCCTGTGTCATTCAGTGGTGAATTATGGGTAATCTCAGTCTTGTACTGAGCGTGAGCATGTGATTGGCCAGCATGTCATGGAGGGGTTGAGAGGTATTGTCCTTATCTTGGACAACATCCGCCTCTCCGACACCATCTTAAGGGAACCGAGCTCCATCCCCACATTACTGGCCTTGCATCTGCGACCCTCAACCTGCTGCCACAACATGCAGCAGCATAGAGGATGGCACTGATCACAACAGACTCATAAACAGACTCACAGTTTCTTGTTATAAAGCACTGCGCCCCTCATTTCTTTATATTTTGCTTCCAAACAGCCAGACTTTCCTGTTATTTTTCAAAGTGGTTTTGATGCTATAGTCGAGCATTCACTGCAGACCAAAACCACCACCAGGCCACCAGGAAATCAGACTCTGAGGCCTGGGATGGAATCAAATTTCTGGCCTGAAATATTGTTTCAGTCTACCCTGGAGCCATGTCTTCTCACATGGAAGATTTGTAACATCAGATTTCTTTTTAGTCTTTGAGAATAAAAGTCAAACTAATTTAAAGGTGCCAGAGAGGAAACCAAACAAAAAGGTAGAGCCAGTAAACAATTTAGAATTTGGTAGTAAAATGCCTGGAAAGTTAAACATAAAAGTGTAATAAAGGATCCGGTAATTGGGAGTGGGGGGGCCACACAGGGGAAATAGATACAAGGACTGTATGTGAAAGACGGAAGTAGCCACACAAACCCTTTTGTCTGTACAGGCCTTGAGCTCAGCCCTTTACCATTTGACTGTCACCAGCTAACGACTGAGCATGCTCTATTTTATCACAACAGTAATAATGATTTACAGAATAAAGTCTGTGTCTATATTACCTGAAACCAGGAACTGAGCCCAAAAAGTCTCCAGTAAAGTGTTTAGTGACATCAGAGGCACACAGACTGCGATACAACCAGAATACTTTTTGCAACCAGAGGAGTCGCCACCTGCTGGCTGTTAGAAAACATGCAGTTTTAAGGCCCTTCCAGACTGACCTGATCTGTGCATGTAAATTTGGTTACTGGCCACTTGGGCACAGGTTCAAGAGGAGGAACAGAGCAAAGGGATGAAGTAAAAGTGACAGGGATGATAAAGAAAACTACATACCACACTGTGTCACACTAGACTCTCTAAATAAAGGTCGTGACAGTCAATTTTAATAATTACAGGTACTCTAATGTTAATATTAAGACTGGTGGGTGAATGATGTGGGGGATTTAGTGCTTAAAACATTATCAAACTAAAAATTTAAAAAAGGATGCAGAGACTTAAATTTTCCTGCATTGATCCTATTGTGTTTCTTTTTCAGGTCAGAAAGCGAATCAAAGCGCCCCGCAGTGATGGACGTTAGCGGTCAGGTGAGGAAAGTCCCCGTGAGGATCATTCACGCTGAGAGCAGCACAGGACGCGAGGGTCGAGCCTACCTGCCTCAGAACAGCGGGTCCTGCAGCCTGTCCGAGCTGCCACCACGCATCCCTTCCCTGGGCGCCGCCGAGCGCTTGTCCTCATCTCGGTTCAGCACCTACAACCGCCAGACGGCACAGGAGTCAGCCCCCAAGCCCAGTTCACCTGGGCCCCAACATTCAGAGGAAGACGCCAAGAGAGAGGAGCTGGTGAGGGACATTATGGGTAAAGACAAGTCTCTGGTGGACATACTGGACCAGAGTGGCAGGAAGACCACCATGGACCTGATGGAGGGGCTCTTCCCACCAGAGGAGGAGATCCTGGAGGGGGCCCAGCAGCGCAGGAAGGCCTCAGCTGGATCCAGACTGCTCACATCGTCCCCCAGGAGCACAGACAGGTGGGACACTGCAGCAGGAAACCTTTCTATTCAAAATGTGCATTTTGTGATTGGAGTAACAGTAAGTGGATCTAGAAAGGCTGATTTTACACACAAAGATAACAGCTGTTTCAACAAGCTTATTGAGGAGATTAAACAATGTGTTTCAGACAGAGGATAACCTGAGTCCAACTTTTAGATAAATTACAATTATTTCTAACTGTAATCATGCAAAGCTACCCTAGTAGAGTCCAGGTATAAAAGTGAACTGCTGGAGAATGAAGCATCCACTGCAAGGCTGATTTTCCATTTGCCAGACTAGCCTGCCCTCTGGTGGACAAGTGTTGCAATTTCGATTAATCCACTTTCCTCGAAATCATAATAATAATAACTTTATTATTACAGCACTCTTCAAAACAGAGTTACAAAGAGCTTCACAGTTAAAATAAAAGCTGCACATTGTAGATAAGTGTACATGTTAAAACATACAGACACATGCATACATACAGAATTCTATCGTCTGATAACGATATAAATCACAAAAATGTAACATTTTCTGTAAATTCTGTGAATCTCGGGCAACTCGACTTGCGGGAAGTGTTTCCAGCTGCGCGTATGTAGCTGGAGTCCGCCGCCGTTTCCTTTGTATTTATTACACGGCGTGCTGCGGGGAAAAGCCTGTTCTAACGTTTAAGTCTAAGGTTTATTGTTTAGCACCTGGCTGCTCTTTTTTACTTCTCATCCGTAAATAATCTGCTCTTTCACGTGATTCAGTTTATTTTGAAAAGTCTCAACAGGATCTTGAGCTTTATTGTGAAAGGTTTATGTGGAACATAAACAAGCGGACACGCGATGGTTTTACAGTTGTTGTTGCTAACGACAACGTATAAAGACAGGTGCTTGTCCATCCGTAGTGTGGTTATATAAAATATAAGAGAAACAGAGAGCTTTAAGAAATTAATATAGCCACTACAGTGACCAACAAAACGAAAAAATATTGCCGTAAACAGTTTATTTTGCGACACCACGAAACAAACGATAGCATAAAATGAAATGATAGACGTTTTTATATCGTCATCCGATATATATCATTATATCGAACAGCCCTATACATGCATGGTTTCAAACTATAACAACAAATGAAGGAGAACAGATTAAGAAAACACTAACCTATAAAAATGAGTTTTTAGCATTCACTTAAAACAAATAACCAACAGTCAGCCAACATAATTGAAGGATGTTGTACAAAATCACATTTAGTAGACAAAAACATATTTGTCTTGGCTATTGCTGGCTACTTTTTAATGCTACTTGTGGCAAAAGGCCTTTCCTATACTAATAAAATGCAGTTATGGTCAGGAGTTTCTATCCACTCATCATGGGCGTGAATGTCCTGGTAATTTGGTGCTTTAAAGGATTTCTTTGAACTGTTCCTTTCAGGGATGGACTCATTGTACAGCACATATCTTTAATGACTTTAAAAACAACAACTCAACAAAAAATACATTAAAGCTCAAACATAAACCTACACTTCCAATCAATTTTGGTAAAATGTCCCTTAACAAGTTGTCCCTGGATCAAATGCTTTAGGTAGCCATCAGTAAGGTTCTGGTATAATTCTGGCTGATATTCGATCATTCTTCTTGTCAGAATTTGTAGAGTTAATTTAAATTGGTTTATTTCCCAGCACAGATCAAGCTTTTAAGTGGAGTCCAGAAATTGGTTTGGGGTTGGGGCTTTATGAAGGCTGTTCCAGAAGCTTAATGTTAGCCTGCTTTATCCATCCAAAACCAGTTTTGATGTGCTTGGGATCATTGTCCTGTTGGAACAACTGTGTCCAAGTTTCAACCATCTAGCTGTTGATCTGAGATAAAGTCGAATAATGTGGAGGTAGTCCTCCTCCTCCTTCATTATTCCATCCACTCTGTGCAACGCACCACTGGCACCAACACAGCACCAACACAGCACCAGAGCATGATGCTACCACCACCATGCTTGACAGCTGGTACAGTGCTCTTAGGTTTGAAAGCCTCAGCTTTATTCCTCCAAACATACCTTTTGTATTTGTGGACAAACAGCTCAAACTTTGTCTTGTTTGACTATAAAACATTTCTCTAGAAGACATTTGGGTTGGGAAGATTTCATTCGAGCTTAAAGGTGTTAATTTGTCAGATTTCTTGGTCAGCACCCTCTTGAATCTTGAATCTCAATCCATGACGATGTAAAACTGTCTGCATTGTGGACAGTAATGCTGGTGTTCATGGTAGGATTGAGCCTTGGGGGTTTCTGGGTTGTTCCTGAATATCCTAACTGATTTCCTCTCATCTGAGGATGACAGCTCGTGTCTTTATCCACACTTTTGCAAAGTTGTGACATATCTAAATAACTTTTACTTACGTTCAATTGTTTGAACTGATGATCGCTTGAACATACCGAATGTCTTTATATTTTGGTGTCATCACCAGAAGAGTTCCAGTTGAGGACTTCGAAGATTTTGGGTGCAGACATGCAGTGTCAGTAAAAGTTGCGTCAGAGTATTTGTGTTTGTCCTTGTGCATTTCAGAAGGGAGGAGGAGGAAGTGTCTGTGTCAGCAGCCGCCTCGCTAGTCCCCAGCTCCTCCTACTATAACACGTCAGCTCCTAAAGCTGAGCTCCTCATCAAGATGAAGGACATGCAGGAGCAGCTGGAGGAGCAAGACTCAGAGGATGAGCTGGATGTTGATCTGGTCAATAAAAAGGTAAAATATGCCCACTTTATGTTTTATTATGCATGCCATTCTGCTATCCTAAAGTAGTAAATGGATTGTTTTTATGTGTCTACTTCATCAACTTCAGCAAGAGCTGATCTCCAGCCTTGCGAAGAAGCTGGAGGTGCTGCGGGAGGCAAGGCAGAGCCTGCAGGAGGATGTGGAGGACAACGAGGCTCTGGGCCGTGAGGTGGAGGCCATCGTGCAGCGCGTCTGTCAGCCCAACCAGCTCGACAAGTTCCGCATGTTCGTGGGAGACCTGGACAAGGTGGTGAGCCTGCTGCTGTCACTGTCGGGCCGGCTTGCCCGGGTGGAGAACGCCCTCAACAGCCTGGAGGATGAAGCACCGCCAGAGGAGAAGGTAACCCCAGACACTGTCCACCAAATCGACTGCTTCCCTCAGCTTTATGGAAGTTTACACTAAGTTTTAGGACATTGTTTAGCTCTTAATTTTATAATTTTGTTTATGTGTATTTCACAGCATATTTATTGTTTGTAGTTTACAAATATGAACACGTCTGAAAAAGATGAAAAGCTTTGAGCTAATCTATTTAATCATCCCTCCTGAAGCCCAGTGACAGAACAGCAGCTGCAATAACAACAGTAAAACAATCTTTACCTTCTGTTTATGTTCATAAAAATGCTAATTGAATCACATAACATACAAAACACTGTATTTGTCCATTGATGCCAAACGTGCAGTTTAATAATGTATGTATGTGTACCTTAATAATGTATGAACATTTTAGTTCACAGTACTGTGCAAAAGTCTTGAGCCACCCCACATTTCTTTACATTTTGTTTCCAGGGATCCAGACTTTCTCTGAAGAGTTTAGCAGGCTTTCTGAAGGTCATTCTGGATATTGGCTTAACTCATTTTTACTTAGTCCTTTACTTTAGTCCTTGTACCTGACCACGGACGTCAAAAAAAACTAAGACAAAAACAAAGAAAAAACTGAACAAAAGGCAGAAACATCCTAAGCTTTGAATGTCCTTCAAGAAGCCTGGAGAACTATTCCTGAAGACTACCGGTACTTAAAGAAATGAAAAGAAAGTAGACTGTGCTGAAGAATAGAGGTGGTCACACCAAATATTGACTTTCAAGCTCTTAGTATTGCACAAAAACTCTGTTTTTGCCTTATCTGCTGTTTTTACATGTATGTTTGCACGTTTCAATAAATCACTGCATATATTTCCTATTTTTCTAACAAATGTAAAGAAATTGCACAGTACTGTACCTCCTGTTGTTATGAAATGAGCTCTCTGCAGTAAAAAACAAATGCAAAAGAATAATCATATGACATTATTGTTGTTGGCAGCTTAAATCATAACTGGAATTAATTTCAGGTAATGAATCTACAGTGCAGCAGATATGGCACATATTTCCCTCAGGAGCTGGCTTTAACTGTGTTTGTCTCCACCAACTGACCTCTAGGACTCTAAATGAAGAATAATCTAGCTTAATGAATGCTGGATTGTGTGAATACGTAACCGCTTCCTAAGAAGTTTTCTGTTTTACTGTTTTTGCTGCACTAAGCAGGTTTAATGTGGTTACATGATCCATAGATGATGTTCTAGATTAATAACTCATATCTGTCGTCCATCAGCAAACCCTGACTGAGAAGCGAAAGCTGCTGATGCGGCAGCACGAAGACGCCAAGGAGCTGAAGGAGAATCTGGACCGTCGGGAACGACTGGTGTCCAGCATCATGGAGGCCCACCTGGACATGGAGAGCCTGGACGACTACAGGCACTTCGTGAAGATGAAGTCTGCGCTCATCATCGAGCAACGCAAGCTGGAAGATAAGATCAAGCTGGGCGAGGAGCAGCTGAAGTGCCTGTTGGACAGTCTGCCACTAGAGCAGAGGCCACTGCTCTGAATCAGTCAAGAGGATGAACCATGTAGCATTTTTATATGAACATCTTTGAATTGCGTGTGAGTTTATGACCTCAGCCTAGATTTGATGCTGGTGAAGTTGCTGTTGTTTGTTAAAACCAAACTGAGGAGCCTCAGAAACCAAATCAGACACCAGGATTAGTCAGTTACACCTTAAACAGCTTAGAGTGGACCACCACTGATTGTGATTCTTGGACTCTCCTAGAGTAGCTTCACATGACTCACAGGTTAAAATTGTTCCTTTTTTTCCTTTTTTCTGGGCCCTGGTGCAGCACGACAACAGCTGTTTTACCTTCTATATGTCTGACTGGTTGCCCCTCGTAAACAGTGGGTGGGACTTCTCCACGACATCATTTAAAGCAAAGACTAGAAAAAAAACTGTCCAAAACCGAGTGTTTGGATCTTTTGGGCCACGGGGATGGCCATACGTAGTATGAACATAAACATAGAGCACATATAACAGGTCCACTTTAAAACTGTGGGGTGTTTTTGATGGTCAGTTTTTACTCAGAAGGATTCGACAACAACACAAATGTGTTGTCATTTGATTAGTGGAATCATGCCAGGCATGTTTGTCTTGGACATACAGGGCGGCAAGATACCTCTCTGCTTTGGTCTATTTTTCACATTATTTTGCTGCTTAACAGACGTAATTAAAGTCAGTAATAGATAAAACCATTATTGCATGCCGGTGCTGTATCAGAACTCCCCTTTTGGCAAAATGGGCTCAGAGTGTCAGAACATTACTCGTTACCCAAGCAGAGGCTGACAAATACATATGAAACCAGAAACCATAGACTGTATATAAAAGACGGAGGACCACAACGTCACCATTTGGTTAGTGAATTTCGCTTATGAAGCCTTAGCTTGAGATTTTTTGGTGTCTTTGTGCTTCAAAAGCAGACGTGTTGACAGAGGGTTGAACTTGACAGAGAAATCAAAGACACTGTACACCCATTGGCTAATGACTCATGATTGACAAGTTGTTAGCCAATGGTATGCTCATACTAAACTCATGTGGCTACAGAGAGGAAGAGGAGTGCACTCAATAGCTGGGCCCAAGTTACAGAGACATAGTTGCAGAATTTAACATGAATTTGTATGATTTCTCTCAGTTTTTCCCCAGCCCTCCCTTTTTTTCTGTCTTTATATTAAACCCACACTTCTTTATATTAAAATAGGAGCCCCAGTGGCCCACAAAATGGTGACCGCAAGCATGTCTTGTTCTGATCGTCATTGGTGTCAGTAGACTGTCCTCTCAGTAGACAGGCTTAGTGACCCAGAGTGAAATACTGATATCTTGGAATATATTTATCAAGCTGCACAGAAAACTTTGCGGCTTCATGTGAATAGGTCTTTGGCGATTGATCTGATTGGTTGCCATGTGTGTCACGTTTCATTCAAAAAGACTTGAAAACAGTAACTGAATAATTAAGTGTTTACTTTGGTCACAAAGATCTCTTTACTATTAGCCCCCTTTACAACTGGAAGTCTTTTTAAACTAGAGGTATCGCCCCCTGGTGCCCTTTATTTTAAAAAAAATGCAAGTTTAAGGTACTGCAGTGACGGCTTCCTGTTCCAACTTTTATATACAGTCTATGCAAGGAACTCAAAGTACAGCTTTTTGTGGAAGAGCTGCGCCCCCTGTCTGTTTTGTGGAATAAAGCAAACCAGCACAAAGTGAACCAACTCTATGATTTTATCACACTATTTAAACACCTATTAGCCAAGGTCAATATATTTATCAAGTAATATTACAGTAAGGGTGAGTTTTAATACATACATATTTCTACACTGAGTGTTAAATGCTGATAGTGCTGCTCGCTGTGTGAAGCCTTTTTAAGCTATGAAACTGAGCCTTTATCTAGACCCTTGTGAAGTTTAATACATAGAACCGCCACCACACGTGAATTATGATATTTTCCTGATTCCCCGTATGAAAGCTGCGTTTCTTTTGCACCTCATAAAACCAAAGCTCATAAAACCGAATTACGCTGTTACTTTGCTCACCCTGCAGTGTTTCCAGTCCCCTCTAATGTTCTTTTTATTTAACTTGCTGAAAGTGGCTGGGTCACGTATGTTTTATGTTTTTAAGGTAATATTTCGTAGTAATTTATTGTAAAGCTTTGTCTGGAAATGTATGTAAAGAAACACTTAACTGCTCAGCAAACGTTTCAACTTGGATTACCCAGTGAAAATCATTTCTAAAAAAAAAAAGAAAGAAGGCAAGTTGTTTAATTTTTTTTTTCATGACATACTTTTTTGTTGTCTAATAAGATTAGAAAGAACACGTTTGAATCCAAAATGGTAAAAAGAGTTACGATCTGTTGAGGAAAATATTCTTCTATTACAAACTGTTGCTTTCCAGATGTTATTTTTACATGTGATGCACATCTCATTTTAGAGTGAAGCTATTTTATTTATGCCAGAATAAAGGGTGAATTTGATAAAAATGAACTATCTTCTCATGCTAATGTTCCTCCTGCTTGTTTTCGATACAGCAGTGCGTAAATAGTGACTGATTTTCTGCTCTCTCGAGTAAAAGGACCGAGACACTGCTGGTGTTTCTGTGGAGGCCGATGTAAGAAGTAAACATGTGAAGATGTGCCTGCGGTAGCCTCGTCTACAGCCCACACTTCATGTTCGCTATTTGCAGATGGCCTCCTTAACGCCTCTCTCAAATTTTAATATCAGACAAAGATAACCAGAATAAATGAAAAATGCAGTTTTTAAATGATCATTTCATTTATTAAGGGGAAAAAAGCCTAACCTACTTGTGTGGAAAAAGCAAGTGTGTCATAAACCTCATAACTAGTTGTGCCAGTGTTTGTGATCCCTGTCAATAAATCTTTGACATCACTGCAGAGGAATTTTGGACCGGTCCTCTTCACTCACGTCGGAGGGTTTTCCATCTGAA